TAATTCTGTCATTACAAACAATCTTCTTAACAACACTCCTCACTACACTTTTATGCACCACTATTGTCACACCTCTTTCAGCCCGTTCACCTCCGGAATAATACACTGTATAATCACCACTTCTTATTTCACCTTGTCCTTTCCACCGCACTTCGCTGACACCTAGAACAGACACTTCATTCTTGTGCATTTCCGTTTTCAAATTCTCCAATTTGCCTGCTTGATTCAAAGTCCTTACATTCCATGTTCCAGTCTTGTAGCCATGCTGTTTCGTCTGATCTTCGCACTCTTTCTTGTTGTAACGCCTGCATGACATTTCCTCTAGGAACACTCCCCCCCCCAGAGATCCGATTGGGGGAGTAGTTCACCTCAGGATTGTTTTGCCTCCAAAGGAAACATCTCGCATACATGGTATCTCTGTTTTTGGAAAGAGACTATCCAGGAAAAGTGATAATGTGGTAGTTTTTCCATTTGCTTTCCACATTGCAGTACAACAGCCATTCAAACCACTCTGGTCACGCCTGTTGCTATACAAACTTGAACCATCTCGAGCATCATTTGCTCTGTGCTTCAAGTCGCTACTGATGACGCTGCTTCTGGCATCAGTTTTTGGTGTCTCTCTTCGTCTGATGCCTACCCTTTGACCTGTCCAGCTTGTACATTTTAGGGACATGAGATAACAGGCTATCCATAAAGTTCCTATTTTACTGAAATAAAAGTAACTTTTATTTTTTATTTTTACTTATTTATTATTTTATTTTGGGGGGGGGGGCAGGATACAGTGATAATGAATATGCAAGAATGTGTGTTAGTACTGTCACTTGCACTAGAAGAGAGAAACTGTAGAAGAATTTGGAAGAAAATATCATAATTCTGGACCTACTAATAATCAGTTCATTATCTGTACAGAAACATTAAACAAACTTCAAAGACATTCTTTATGGGAAAACGGGATGAAATTTCAAAATTTACGTTTTAGAAATTTACGTCTGCTAGTATCATAGTTCTTTGAAATTGTAAAATCAGTTTTTGTTATGCAATGTATACCTGCATCTTCAAATTGTTACACAGATACGTGAATTTGGAGCCTGTCCTCGAAGGCCATGCAACAATGGTTATTATCCAATTCATGAGGCTGCGAAGAATGCATCATCACGTACAATGGAAGTATTCCTGCAGTGGGGAGAATCTCGGGGTTGTACAAGAGAGGAGATGATATCATTTTATGATTCTGAAGGCAATGTGCCTCTTCATTCAGCTGTTCATGGTGGAGACATTAAGGTAATGATCTACAGATTGATAAAATATGTGTGCATGTAAATGAATTTTCATTCATCCTTCCTTCTTCATTTGAACCCTAATCGTATCTTAGTCATTATGCTTTACAAGTGTTGTGTAGAAGGTAAGTGGACAGAAAACTACTGGCTACAGAAACATCTGAGCACTGTTATGCCCTCAGGTTTACAGCAGATATTATGTTTTAATGTTAATATGTTTGGGCTAGACTAGAACAAGTATTTTAAAATACAGTTAGGAAATATGAAATGGAATGTATGAATGTACCACGTCAGCATAGCAATTCTGACTGGGCGGAAGCGTGTTACACAGAAAGCAGGACGCTTGGAGGTAAGAATGCTGAGTCAAAGGGGGCAGGCAGACTAGAAAACGCGAACTCCCTCTAGGCAGGCAGCCAATGAGAGCTAGCCACCCCAACAAAATCACGTCGTGGGTAGGAGTACACCCTCCCGGAAGTTGACGAGTTAACAAAAAGAGGGTACAAAAATACTAGAGGAAACTAGAAAGAGAATATTCGGTCAATAATTTTCAGTAGAGTTGTGGCCAAAGGTTATCGTCAAGATGACACTGAGAGAGTGCTGGATGGTGATGTTCTTCTGCATCCTTGCCGCAAGTAAGTGGAACTGCTACTTATAGCCATGAAAATTGAGGGTAACATTATTAAAGTGCAAACCCCAGGGAGCGGGAGTGAGGACTATACAGAACAGGCTTAAGAATACCGAAGCATGGTCCGCGGCATGGTGTAAGAGAGAGACAGAGAGAGGAGAGCAGGGAGAGAGGTATAGGAGACCCAGAGTCAGGAGAGAAGAATGTAACTATGTCCATACAGGAGTGATTAACAAACTATGTGAAATGTAAACCCAACAAACGTCAGCATTGTTTGTATGTATATATATATGTATGTATATAGAGATATACTCGTAGATGAATAGAGTAGAATAGGAATGCGGTGTAACATTAATGGACCCCATCCCACACTTCGCACACCCTTCCCCTATCACCTCCTGCATCCCCCAAGTGTCCCAGAAGAACTGCGAACTCAAAACCAAAGAGGCAAACGCCAAAGAGATCAATGAATTTACCTAGCCCCCCTCTTACAGCAGAACAAGCACATTTTGTGAACTTCAGTGAAATGCAGGAATTACATAATTGTAGCTTGTATATATCAGCTAGAGGAACGAGTACAATTCACAAGTTAATTTTATTTATGACATAATAGTTTAAAGTTGCATGAAGTTCTTTTCTGTTGTATAATAAAACAGTCATACTGCCAGTCATACTGGTGTTTATTCTCTGTTAAAACTGTATGCATTGAGGAATTTTATTCGCAGAATCTGGAAGTACCAGAAATGTCAGTATTCAACTGAAGTGTGATATGTGGAAGATCAAGACAAGTGTGTTCCAACAATACATATATGCTTAACGTTTATAAAGTTTTTGAAGATTAAACACTAATTTCATATATTGGTATATTTAGAACCTTTTATATGTACTGTCATATTCCATTAATTCCATTACTAGGTAGTCCCACAGTTTTATGGAGTATTTTTTACCATTCTAGTCAGAATTTTTGCATCAGATATACAAAATGGTTCATCAAGAAATTCTGCTCAAAAAATACAGGCATAAGAAATTTATATTTTAAAAGGTATAATTCTCCCTGGGCTTAATTAATTCAGCACAACTCCATGAAGACATATGGGATACTGGAGGTATAGCTCCACTATTCTTGATCTTAGCATTAGATGGAGGGAAGTGGCCAGTTTTACCCCCTACCACCTTAACACAGGGACACATTGCCTGATACCCATTGTCTAGAAAACTAGGTGAGCTCCAGAGCCTGTATGGACATCACGAAGAAGAGAACATTTTCTTTCCACTCCCAGGAATCAAACTACTAATCCTCAGCTGTCCAGCCTGTAGCCAAGTTGCTATACTGACTGAGCTACCTGGCCCCTAATTCAATATTGTGTGTAATATAAATTGATGTTTAGAAAGATAAAGTTGTGCTTGTGCTTAAGTAATTAAGCACTACACCATAAATATGTATGGTGGACTGGACATATCATCCACGTATTCTTAACCTTGGCACTAGTTTGAGGTCAGTGATCAGCTGTATGGCCTGAGCACACATTGGATAGGAGGCTGGGTGGGCCTCAAAATTGATCTGGACAATGTCAACATGAGAAAAATCTTGCCCTACCACGACTCCAACTGTGAAGCCTCAGCCATGTAGCCCATAGCCAGTTGCTATACTGATTGTGCTCTCGTAGCTTTTAAAAAGAGGTTTAAAGGTACAAAGAATATATTAGTTCTTGCAGGAGTAGAATATTGCCTTAATGTTAAATTTCTCAAGAGGTCATGAATATTAGCTAACACACAGCTGATCAGTATTTTTCTTAACTAACAGTTAGAAACCTATGTGAAATTTTCTCATGAAATATAGCTATTTGTTTTTCTGATATAGGCTGTGGAGCTGTGTCTTAAGTCAGGAGCTAAGATCTCCACACAACAGCATGACCTCTCTACTCCTGTGCATCTTGCATGTGCACAGGGGGCAATTGAGATCGTGAAGCTCATGTTCAGCATGCAGCCTGCAGAGAAGGTGCAGTGCCTGGCCTCATGTGATGTGCAGAAAATGACTCCACTCCACTGTGCTGCCATGTTTGATCACCCTGAAATTGTGCAGTACTTAGTTTCTGAGGTGAGAATCTGTGAACTAACAACATGTGCAACTATCAGTTTTATAAAATGAGGTGAAAATACTGAGAATGCCAAATGAATACTTACTTGTCTTTTACGTGTCCTGCATCTGAAACCAGCCAACTCCTCTAATGGGTTTAGTGATTTTCAATCAAACCACTTGAGAAGTTTTCATAAAAATTAGTATCAATTCCATAAACTGGATGCTAATATATTGTCACATATTTTTGCATGTTACACCTTGCCAGGTCAGATTCATGTCAGTATGATGTAGAAAAATGCCCAACTCAATCCAGCTTTAGAGCAGAATATGTTTTCCTGAATGTCAGGCTGAGTCTGACAGGGGACACTCAAGGTTATGAGTCTGACAGGGGACACTCAAGGTTAATTTGTGTAGTTCCTCTTTATTGTACCAAGATGTCCTCCATCCAGTGTAGGATAATAACATTTTGAAATGTGATAGTTTTTCTTTCTAATGATATGCTGCTTGTATAGATATAATTCTCCTTGTCAAATAAACAGTTATAGTGCATCTGCATTAACTTTTTTGTTTAATTATAAAAATTGATGGGCCATTATATTCATTTATTTGAAATCTAGTAAAATGGAATTTTATAAACATGTTTGTAAGTTGTGCGTAAAGCAACTAACCAAGTGAACTTGTCTCACAATAACTTGAAGAAACTACTGGAGTAACATAGATTACACTGCTTGAATTGTATATTTCCTCGTATGTAGACATGTATACTAGTCCCCACTTTCATGACACCATTTCAATTAAAATTTATAGTTACTAGTGCAAATTTCTTATTAAAATATGTGAGTTGTTAAGTAAAGTAATAATCAATTAATAAATTATTCTAACTTCTTTAAACAAACAAAAGTATACATCAGGGTAAAATATCTTAACAACATAATTTTGTTGGATGCTGTCCATTGTCCAAGCCATACTTGGTATATCAACATTTTGGAGGCAGGCTGTACTCCCATCTTCCACTGACTGGTTGGTGTTGTATTGGCAGTTAGCTGTTATTGTTTTGAGATTTTTGGCAATGATTGTAATTTAATCCAGAACCGTTTTGGCATTAAACTTGTATACTGACCACTAAACATTCCAAATGTTTAGCATACAGGTTTTTTTGGTATTAAAAATATTCCAGATTCATACCTGGCCACTGTTACTTATCTAAAAAATGTTACTGTTAAAAATTGTCTGTTGTACTAAGGAGAACTGTTTGCCTAAAAAATATGGCTAGAGTCAACAATGCCCAAAGCATTGTATATAGTAAGGGTATCCCAGAAAATGCAAATTATCAAACATATCCCATGTATAATGAACCTAAACACAAACATTTAGAAAATCACAAAAACATCTTGTCACTGAAGTTTGATGCTTTAGTTTGATATGTCATTTGATTTTGGAGATCAAGGAAACGCTTTTGTGGTTTGAAGAACATACATGATACATATGTATGTTCCAATCAATTTATTGTTATATATAGGGTGCAGATATCAACCCTCTGGATAAGGAGAGGCGCTCACCTCTTCTGTTGGCATCTTCTCGTGCTGGTTGGCGCACTGTGCAGATTCTCATTCAACTGGGTGCAAACATTCACCTCAAAGATGTAAACTCACGCAATGTCTTACATCTTGTTGTCATGAATGGAGGACGTCTAGAGGAATTTGCTAATGAAGTGATCAAGGTGAGTTAGAGATTCTTATTGCTTCATTATCAAAGAAATTATTGTAACATTTCATGTGGTACTTCTGCATCACCTTTTGGAATTTGCTCATAATTATCATATCACAGCATTGCCACACTTACAAAAACTTAGGCTGTAGATCCTATCTTTGTGATGTTCCTAGTTATCTGTTTCATTAATATTTATAGTACCCAAAGGATCCAGGATAGTATAGTTGGTATAGAGACTGGCTATGGGGTGGACGACTGAGGGGTCAGAGTTTTAGTCCCAGTAGGGCCAAGAATTTTCTGTTCTCTATATCATCCAGACCAGCTCTGGGGTCCACCCAACCTCCTATCAAATGGGTTCCAGGGGCATGAAGCTGATCACTCACCTCCAGCTAGTAAGGAGGTCAAGAAAGTATGGATCTATACATCCACTCCTCCACATGCCCTCATGGCATAGTGCTTAATTAGTTAAGCACAGGTACAAATTTACCTTTTTTTACCTTTAGTACTCATATTAAAGTACAACAAAGTTTACATTTTAAATCTCTACGTATTTTTATTAAAATTAATTGAACCATATATGTATAATAGCAATATAATTTGTGTATCTTGTATTCACAAAGTATTTTCTGATTTGTGGTTAATATTCGTTATGCTCATTCTTATTATATAATGAGTTAGGCCCTTGTGAATAGTGGTTACAAACCAGTGGAATATCAGTGTCCCTTCTAGTGTCCATTTATAAAGATTTTTTTTATTTATTTATTAATTAAAGACTGGGTAACCCAGAACTTAATTACAATTAAAACTAGTTGGATAACTAACAGTTAATTTTTTTTTCTAAACCTAATATACTACGTAAATTAAAACTAAGTCACTTCCACTGAATTACTTAGTACTTTAACATTTAACTAGTTTGAATGGTTTCTTCTGTTTGAGTCGTCTAATGATATTGTTCACGTTGAGAAGTCTGGACGCTTCAATGTTGACATGGTTTTGGAGTCTCTTTTTCATGAGAGGTGGCGGACTTAGCGATGATATCTATAACCGTCTCGATGCCAAGGTCACGATGAGGGTCACTGTTACGAACATACCATGGTGCGTTGACAATACACTTTAGCACTTTGTTCTGATAGCGTTGAATCACTTGAATATTGGATTCACTGGTGCAGTCCCAGAGCTGGATACCATAACTCCAAACTGGATGTAGAATTTGTTTGTATGATGTAAGTTTATTGTGGATTGATAGCTCAGAATTGCATCCAAGAAACCAGTACATTTTTCCGAACTTACTGTTGAGCTCATCACGTTTTTTCTTGAGATGCTCTTTCCACTGTAACTTGGCATCTAGAGTTATTCCATGATATTTCGCTGTGTTGGCATATGGAACTTGAGTGCCATTGATGAAGATTGATTGATGTGTAATCCTCTTGTCTCTAAAGTCAGTATGTACTGATTTGGATTCGTTGAGTTTAATTTGCCATTTTTTGTTCAGAGGGCAACTTTGTTTACAGATAATTGTAGATTTCTAGTTGAGCTTTCAACAGTCTCTCCTACTGCCATGACTGCTGTATCATCTGCAAATGTGCCTATAGCACTGTTCGATGTAGTTGGCACATCATTAATATAAAGTAGATATAGGAGTGGCCCCAGTGCACTTCCCTGTGGGACACCAGCCTTGAGTTGAGCTTTCAACAGACTCTCCTACTGTCATGACTGCTGTATCATCTGCAAACGTGGCTGTAGTACTGTTTGATGTAGTTGGCACATCATTAATACATAGGACTGGCCCCAGTACACTTCCCTGGGGGACACCAGCCTCCAGTATCTTCAGTTATGAGTACAAGTCTTTGTGTTTGATGTGGAAATACCGATTGGTTAAATAAGATTTTAGGAGTTGATAGAAATGATCAGGTAGAATTGATCTCAATTTGTGAAGTAGGCCTTTGTGCCATACTCTGTCAAAAGCTTGTGCAATGTCAGGAAAGACAGCAGAGCACACTCCTTTGTTTTCAAGCGTTTTTTCAATGATGTCAGTGATATGATGCACCTGGTCAATTGTTGAATGATTTTTTTCTAAAGCCAAACTGATGCGTTGGCACTAGGTGTTTCTCTTCAATGATGGGTTTAAGACGTTTAAGCATCAGTTTCTCAAATAGCTTAGAGATAATCGGCAGTAACGAAATTGGTCGATATGATTCCACTTCACTTAGATTCTTACCAGGTTTCGGGATCATGATTACTTCAGCAGTTTTCCATGCATTTGGGACATGATTTAGTCAAATGCGAGCATTGATTAACGTGGTCAATTTGACCAAGGCTTTCCTTTTAATGTTCTTGAGAATTTCACCTGTGATAAGATGTGCTTTTTTTTGGGTTGAGATTAGTTCTTATTTCTTCCACAACTTCTTTAGGAGTAACCAATGGAATCTTGTCCAGATAATCATTCGAGTTGAGAACTGGTAATGTATCCGGTCCAGGATTTGGATGGAATCTTTTTTCAAGATGTTGTGCAAATATACATATATTTGCTTTCTCAAAATTATTACGAGCCCATCTTCCATCCGTTTTTATGGGTGGTACTTGAGCTATTGGTCTTATTAAATATTTTGTAGCTTTCCAGAGTGAGAGTACTCAGTGCTATGATCTGGAGTGAGTTCTGTGAAGAACTTATTAATTGATGATTGTTTGATATTTTTGATTTCATTGGATAATTGTTGGCTGGCTCTATTGAGAAGGGTTTTATCATGTGGATTTCTTGATTGTTGCCATTTCCTTCTGAGTTTGCATTTATCGGCTATTAGGTTTTTGATTTCTTTCGGGAAGTTAAGACCTTTTAGTTTTGTTTCGATAACAGGTGTGCTATTCCATGCAGCTTCCTGAATGGCAGTCATAAAAGCAATCAATTCTTCTTCTAGTTGAGCGACAGTTTTAAGCAGTACTGATAGATTAAAGTTACACTCTAATAGGTAGTTAAAATAGTCCCGGTCTGTGTGTTTGTTAGTTAGTACTGGGTTTTGATCTTTCATTATGATTTTATCACTAATTGTCAGACATATTGGTGAGTCATCTGAATTCAGGTCAAAACCTTCTTTGATTCAAATATAGTCTAATGAGATATTTTTGACAACAAAGAAATTGATTAAATCTGGAGTTCTTTTTGGATCTGTGGGCCAGTACTTTGGCTTGCCAGTAGAGACAATCTTACATCCAGAGTTTGCAGCAGCCTTGTATAACTCACGGCCTTTAGTAGTTATGAGCCTTGAGCCCCAGTGGGTGTGTTTGACATGGAAGTCACCTCCAATAATGAAGCGACTTAATTTTGTCGAATAGTGTTTGGTACTCATTGGTGTAGATGTTATATCTTGGTGGGCAATAGATTGCACTTATTGTGAGTTTCTGTTTTAATGTTTTGATTGTTACAATTGTGGCTTGGATGTCACGAGCTGTATATTTCTCTTCTTTGTAATGTTTGATATTGTTTCTATCTCCATGGGCCGTATTGGCAGGATGAATAATATATGTTATGTAGTTTTTGAATCTAATAAAAGATTCTTTAGTAAAATGGGTTTCCCATTTATGAAGATAAATGTAAAGTTATCCTTTGACTTAATTAATTAGGTACCATGCCATGAAGATGTATGATGTAGTGGAGGTATAGCTCCACCACTTTTAAACTCAACACTAGGTGGAGATGAGTGCTTAGCTTCACATCCCTACCACCTTCCCTCAGGGGAAACAGCCCACAGTACCCATTGTATAGGAGGCTGTGTGGGCCCCAGAGCTAGTCTGAACATGATGTAATTTATGTAAAGAGGACAGAGAAACTTAGCTGCATGTATAAGAAACAGCTGAGAGAGAGACACAAAATAGGGCTACAGGAATCTTGTGTGAGGTATCCAAATGATAATCAACCAGTCAGAGGCACAACTGCATCTTTTGGCTCCTAGGTTAAGATTATTGAAGTGCTTAACCCCCCTACAGGAAAACTTAAATTTATGCTATTTATGAATGTCTCATGCTACAGTCATGCAAGAACTGTAGGTTGAAAAGCAAACACTTGGTTCTTGAGAAAGTGAATCTCTGCTGTCTGAACAGACTGCACCTGGGACAGCTTCATTCAGGACTAGAACCTAATTCTGCCTCTGGCCTCTGTTGATTGTGTTCTTTCTTGGTTCCAGTCAGCATGAAAATTGTAATGATTTTGAAAGCATGTACACAACAGAAAGCAATCGCAACCTCAACACGTCAATTTTCAGAATACGGACCTTATTTTACAAGTCATGACAGTCTTATGTCTCCATGATTTTGGTTTGATTGCAGTATCTAATGGACCATTAGAGCAACATACATTAAATTTGTTTAGGGCACATAATAAGCTTATCTGGTTACATTTTCATTAAAATTTATAATGTAATGGTTGTAAACATGGCGACAATGCAGTACTTTGACGTTATGTCTGGAAAATGTAACACTGTGAGAATTTGTACTTTTAAAAATTATGCTCAGAATGGATCATTAGGTTGTATAATTATTAATTTGTAATTATTGCCAGAAGGAAAATAGGCACCAGAAATGTTTCACAAAACTTCATGTTCACAACTTTTTATACACCATGAAGTTGACAGTTAGAGGGGAAAGAGAAAAGAAAATCTGAAACACATCAGTTAATTTTATCATGAAAGAAAGACCTTTGTTTGAACTCCAAATATTTCTTTCCTCATTTGAAAAGCCTACAATTTCAGCTGTATAAGTCTGTAAATTTATGTATAAAATTTTGAAGAATTATGCGTATCTTCAGTTTCTTATTAACCCATGGTTCTCAACGTTGAAGGCACAGTCTAAAGTGAGTTTGCTGCAGCTACTTAATGAAAAGGACAAGACAGGTTGTTCACCTTTGCATTATGCAAGTCGTGAGGGCCACATCCGCAGTCTGGAGAACCTTATCAGACTTGGAGCCTGTATCAACCTTAAGAACAATAACAATGAAAGTCCTCTGCACTTTGCAGCCAGGTGAGTTTAAAAGTTATGAGATATGTATGAGCAGCTTCAGCTCATCCAGTTGCTGCTGTTGTCATTGTTAGTGTTTGTGTTGGCTATGGTCATGGCGGTAGTGGTGACGCTGTAGTACAGTGCAGTTGTTGTAGAGCTTTCCCCATATCACCGAGTTGCTCATGCAGCTAAGTTAAATGCTCCTCTCGTCTGGTCACACCAAGGAGATACAGACTGCTATCAACATTTGACAATCCTATAGCCTAACACAGCGTTTCTCAAATTTTTCTGAAGTGGGGACCACTTTTATAAGTCAAACCAGTTCTGTATACCACCTTACTCTTGTTCCCTTCGAAAGCAAATTTATCATTTTTTAGCATATTTTAATACCAGTATACTTATATTTTAAAATAGAATTAACACATTGCGGACCGGACGGGCCATATGGCCCTCTACGTTTCCAAGCGTTGCTGACCGGGCGGGCCATATGGCCCTCTACGTTTCCAAGCGTTGCGGACTGGGCGGGCCATATGGCCCTCTACGGTCACGTTATGTTGCAAAACGCTATATATCGCTGTGTTGCTTCGTTGAATCGTAACTACTGCGTAGATGACCTCGGGAATGATTGCTGCCTTATCTAGTAACTCGACCAGAGTCATTTCCTGTCACAACCTAAACAAAATTGGCTTTGTTCTAATCCAAGCTTGCACGTATCAACCACGCAGCTACCAGTTCAACATGGCTCAGAGACGAAAGCAGTTGTGATCTCTCGGAGGACAGAAAATATTAGATATGTTCTCCGATGAGCTATCAGATTTGCCAACTGCTTCGTCTTCTGATAGCGAGGCCATTATCAGTGACAGTGACAGTGACGGGGGCCACAGGGCTGCCCAAAATGTGTCAAGTGAAAGTGAGAGCTCCGTTGAAAGTGCGAGTGTCGGGACAGCAATAGCTACTTTCAAGGAAAGTACATATTTGTGGTACAATTAGGGTGAACAGAGGCCTCCCTCCGGATCTGAAAGAGGAATGCAAACGCCAGAAACGTGGCAACACCGCATTCAGGAGGAAGGAGGACATTCTTCTTCAGTCCTGGAGGGATACTCGCATTGTGAATATGGTTTCCACTATTCACAATTCGAGCATGGTCGATGTTCAAAGACGGCACGGGCAAGTAAAGAAGCCTCTTTGTATTTCCGAGTATAATATGTTCATGAAAGGAGTTGATAGGGCTGACCAGTTCTTGGCCTATTATTCCCTACCTAGGAAAACAGTAAAATGGACGAAGAAAGTTGCACTGTGGCTTATAAACTGTGCAATTTTCAATTCATTTACGATTTTCAAAAAGGTGAACAGAAATTCTACTTTGAAATACAAAGCATTTCTGTTGAAACTGGCACAAGCTTGGGCTACTGACGTCACGGTGGCGGCAGTACCTGCGTCAGACACAGACGTAGTGCAGCCGGGGCCATCTGTTCGCACCCGCCGGAGGCCTCAAGTAGACCCCCCTGGCCGACTCTCGGGTGATATGCGGAAACATATTCTCGTGAAAATTGTAAAGAGTGAATATTGCAAGAAGAAACACCCTTCTAGGCAGTGCCGTGTGTGCGCAGAGCACAAGAAGAAGAGTAGAACTGCCTAAATGTGCCAATTCTGTGTAATGCCTCTTCACAAAAGGGAATGTTTCCAGAGATGTCACACGCGCAAGCACTTCTAGGAGCTCTGGTAAGTGTTCTCCAAAAATTTCAGTTCATAAAATTAATTAGGAGATTTTATATTAATTTTTAAAGTGAACAGTGCACAAGTTATGGTAGTAGGTTTAAAAACGCCGGTCCCCAGGGTGATTTAAATGTTTAAACCACCGGTCCGCAATGTGTTAATTACAATTAATTTAATTCAATTAATTTTATGTTAGTATTAAGTAATTAAGTTAATAGAAGAAAATTCATATCCGTTTTTTAATAATTCAGGGCTATAAGAATTTGGATAATCTTTAACTTATTAACTAAAAAAATAAATAAATGTTGGTACTCACATTAATGAGATGGGTGAGCCTGCTGATTCTTGCACGGTTATTCTATATTTGGATGTATGTTGGTAAGCTTAAGTCAGAGATCGTCACATACATCGAGTCAATTTCGGTACTTTGATTTTATTTAAGTTAGTGATGAAAACCCTTTCTCACACAGATACGTAGAAGTGAAAGACAATTGCCATGTGTAATTTCCAAACTCTGAGATTTTCAGCTATACTCGTAGTGTGATACACAATTCATTTGAATTTTATTTCTTCTTCTGTCTTTTTTGAAGGACCACAAGGGCACACCTCGAGGACCACTTGTGGTCTGCGGACCATAGTTTGAGAAACGCTGGCCTAACATATTACAAATAAAACTTTCCGACATTACAGGGCACCTCCATAAAACGTTCACATTCATGTATTGGGAGTTATTTTTGGAAATAGAATAAAACAGACTTGAAACCCTGGTATCCTCTGCAAGGCATCAGAGGGATTTTCAACCAGAATATTCAGACCTAGTGCTGATTTAGATCACTTTACCTTTGTGAGCACTTTGTGGTGCGGTAGGCTTCAACATTCTCTTAATAAACACAACAGAAATGAAAAGAATTTCCAACATCTGCCATAATCTGGGTAAGTTTTACTGATAATTTGTTAGGATATATGCTTATTAATTCTGCTGACAGATCAGATCTCTGAAGTATGATTAGATGGGAGAGTTTCAGGTTTTCCCACATGTGTAGCTCAGTGATTTTGGGGAAGCTCCTAAGATTGTCATTCTGTAGTATGCCTACAATAAATTACTTCATACACATATGTCACAGGCTTTAACCAGATGTATATATACATACATGAAATTAACTAATACATTTGATGATATCTGATGACAGTTGTAATGATAACACTGACAAATGCTGTATAACTGTCATCACCACCAACACTGTTATTATACATTTGTTACTCATTCAACAAAAGTCTGAACTTCTAATGTTACTATTTGCTTCTTGATTGGCCCTACTGGTGCATACTGCAAAACACATAGTTTGGCAAGTATATTGGAGTACTGTCATATATAACTTTTTAATATTTTTAAATGTGTAAAAAATATGTCGGGGAACTGGGTTTGCATTCATTAAGCTGTAAGTTTAAAAATTTCAGTTACTGAGTAAGTAACCTTCTAACTTTAATATAAAAGGCATGCAAAAGGTCTTGGACGGGTTATCAAATATGAAAACAAATTTTCAAATATTAACAAGTAACAAGTTTTGATGACTGAACAGTGAAGGGTCTTCTGTTTTCAGATATCATTGCTTTTTTGTGAGAGTTCTGGGAGAATTGTATTCCCTAAGGTCTGTGTCCTTTGAATGCAAATATCACATGCAAACATACCTCAGCTGGCTAATATTTATGTACTATTTACACACTTTCTAACAAAAAAACTGCTATCTGGCTTAAATACCATGTAATTCTGCTATTGTTGACAGTGCTTGTAGCAACAGTTTTGAAATTCTTATATATACAAGCTTGTATCTTGGAAAGTGTTATGATTCAGATGTTCATGTTCTTTATTGAAAATCAGTGATGAATGTTTGCCTGAAATACCACACCTTCATGCCATATAGTGACATTACTAGAGTACAGTACTTCTTAAATTGTACCGCAACCAACTGTTTTTGTTAAATTGGGTCACTTCTGCCTAATTCTTTTTTCCTCCATATTTGAATACAGTATTTTGGTAGGTTTAGTTATTAATATTCTTCGGTTTGTATCAGTCTGAAACAAATATAGGAGTAGAAAAGGTCAAGACAAGCATGATGAGCAAACGGCAGAGCATTTTTATATAATGTACTTTTTGTGTGAGTTTTCATTCACCAAATAACCAAAAGCCATGTACCATGGGTTACGCCACTGAGATAGGTTAAAGGCTTATGTAGTTTAAGAACTGAAACACACTGATCTGGTTCATAAACCTTATTAACACACTATGATGTGGGCAGTTAGTATACAGAGAACTCTTTTGTCCAAACATGCCTACTGTTAATCACAGTCGTCCAACAAACTGATGAGTTCAGTTGTGATGTATTTGCAGTGGCATATGTCATATTGGAGATATCAGATATGATTTTAAATATAATGGAAAGTGTTGTCTTTCTTCTTTATTTTCATGATCAGTAGAGTTATGTCAAAATCATTAAGAACTTATTTATTGATGTGGTCACCATCATTAATTTTTAGTCCTAAATTCGTTTATTAATATAGCTTATCGAATTAATTATGGACTCTCTCCAAGCACTTCAATAAGCAGTATAACAGTGCTTACAGGTTATTCTGAAACAGCAGCAGTATTATTTCCGAAATATATATGAGCTAAAATTTACCACTTCCATAGCAAACTTCAGTATATTACTTTTTTGTGAAAATGTTTTCAGTTGCAGATGCATTCATGCTTCTAGAACTAAGAATGACTTACTCAGGAATTACCTGTAACAAATGTGCCACATTTTCTTATTTCATTGATCATTGTATTGACATGTCACTGTATCTGAACTCCCTGTCATTCTCGCAAATGATGTATGTAGTTCAACATTAAGCAGCTCTTTCTCATGTAAAAACGTCATTTCAGAAATTATGTATCAATTAAAATACAAAGTCATTCTATTTTGCAGGTATGGAAGGTACAACACAGTTCGTCAGCTTTTGGATTCTGAAAAAGGGTCTTTTATCATCAATGAAAGTGATGGGGAGGGTCTCACACCCCTACATATTGCATCACAACAAGGTAAGTAGGGTTGGTAAGTTAAAACTAGCATACTGTAGTGTTATTAGTAGTGGGATGTCCTTGTCACAAGCATAATCCCTTCACTACCAAACTTAGTATTCGTTACGTATAAAGATATGATGCAACAAAGATTGTTGTTGTTGTTGTTGTTTGATGATGATGATTATGATGTATAGCTAACTGTATATACTGTAGGACATTGCATAATTCATACATCCCCCCCCCCAAAAAAAATTCATGGTAAAATTTTGGTTGTGTGATTTACATGGAGATTTATAAAAATGGTCCATCTTAAGAAATATTTCTACCTCCATTATTTGTACATAATGTGAAATTTTCGTAGAAACTTGGCTGTTCCTTATATGGGGTTCACTGATAGTGAAAGATATATAATTTGAGCCTAATTCTTTTTATAAGGAAAGAAAGTAGGCCTACAGGATTACCATGCTGTATGTATGTATGCGTCTATATCAGCCTGGTCCAACGCGGCGCCCGTGGTATATTTTTCTGGCACCCTCCGTAACCACATATAATTGACCCGATTTTTAATATTAATTCAAATTGTAAGACAAGAGACATTTTTGAACGTCTGAGTACTGTTAAATATTTTTGAAACATTTTATTATTATTATTATTATTATTATTATTATTATTATTATTATTGGTGGTAGTGGTAGTGGTAGTAGAAGTACTACTAGTAGTAGTGTGTGGTGGCGCCCACACCTCCATAGGCATCAGTGAATTGTGCCCAAGTACGTAAGAACGTTGGACAGCACTGGTCTATATGCATCTGCATCTCCACCTTCAGTTTTTGAACCACTTCAGCTTTTCTCAAAATTTATTGTGAATCTTATGCTATTAGAGGCCACCCCAGCCTCATTAAAGTAAAAAAGTAAAGGTATCCCTGTAACAGGCCCTGGAGGCCCATAGGATAGCGAGATGTTGAGGTTCCCACATATTATAGACAGTTGGCTCATAGATGGCAGCAAGGTTGTCAGCGTTACGCACCAGCCGCCCTTTACCCCTAAGAATATTTCAAGAATATTCCTGGTACTCATTTCTGTTAGAGGGTGAGTCGACCCCAGGGCCATAGTGCGGCTGGAAGAATTAGGTAAATTGAAAAAATCCAATGACCTCATCAGGACTTCAACCCGCAACCTTCCAGCTTGTAGCATAGTGCCTCAACCAACTATGCTACCGTGTACCCCTACCCCACTCTCATACTTTTTAATTTTCTGAAATCAGTGATAACAACATAGTAGACACACAAAATTTATGTAGAATGCTAGGTAAAAGTAAAGAGTTAAATCTCTCCCTGTAACAGGCTGTAAAGACCCATAGAGTTATGAATCTTTAAGGCTCCCACATTTTTCTAGACAGTCGATTCACAGATGGCAGTGAGATTGTCAGCCTTACATGGAGGCTGCCCTTTAAACCCCAGGAAGATTCCTGGTACTCGTTTCTGTTGGAGGTTGGGTCGACCCCAAGGCCATATTACAACTGGAAGTGTTAGGTCAATTGAAAAATCCAGTGACCTCATCGAGATTTGAAACCACAACCATCCAGCTTGTAGCATAGTGCCTCAGCCAACTATGCTACCGCATGCCCCCTATGTACAATGGTATAGCTTCAAAAAATAATTAAACTTGTAATACTTTTGTGGGCTTTAAAAGATGAAATCTTGGCTACATTAAATCTGTTTTGGCTAGATAGTGGTAAGTAATGAATTATTGGATCTGTAGATGTAAAATTCTGCTGTAGATAGGTTGTAAGTATTCCTACAGATTCTGTGTGATACATTGTTTATCAGTGAACAGATGTTATAACTGCAAATTTTTTTGGTTGTGTCTGATAAAATGAATACAGACAAAGTCTGTGCTTAAGTGATAAGTTCTTCAGTAACAGCAACAGCAGCAACAAAACAACAACAACAGATGTAGCAATGGTCATAATATTGACAGCAACAATGCTGATGACAACATTGATGGCTACAATGTTGACAACAGCTATAACAATAATTAGTTGAAAGGAATAAATTTTGAATTGACTAGGATTTGATCTTACGACCATCTGTGCACAAATCTATCATATTTGCCCAGGAGGTAAATTTAATTTAATTTTTAGATTATATTACTGTATCCTTAATTTAACAAACTTTTCTGCTTCACGTGTACAGGACATACCCGAGTGGTGCAACTGCTACTGAACAGAGGTGCTCTCTTACACCGAGACCACAATGGGCGTAATCCACTACACCTTGCTGCAATGAGTGGCTATACACAGACCATGGAACTGCTGCATTCCGTCCATTCACATCTACTTGATCAGGTTGACAAAGATGGGGTAAGCACTTTAGTCAATACCAGTGTTAGCTGTGCACTATATTTATCTCTGTGTTACAGTAGTGTTTTGTTATTCTTACTCAGAATTTTATGTCATTGTGTCTCATCTGCTATGTTAAGAATAACTAATTTCTTGTGTTTTTAGTAAAACCTTAAGGTTTAGCTTCACTAATATCAAAGCCTGCCTTTGGGCATGTTCCTAACACAGTTCTGTCCATCTGTCATCATCATGAGTACTTCTCTAAGACCATCATATTAACGTCATCCTCTTATCACCTTGGTCTTCCAAGCAGCCATTTTCCAAGGTGTTTCCATACCAGTATTCTGTAACTATTTCTTGAATCCACCATCCCAGCTGCATGCCCTGCCTTCTCAATGTCAATCCTCTGACTTTGCTAGATGACGTATTTGAACCCTTACTGCATTATATCCTAAACTGCCTAAGTTCATCCTTCTGAGATCCAAATTGTGTCATTAATTGTAAGGTCCTTACAAAGTTTCAATAATGAGATCTCAGAATGTATGTACAGTAGAAAGATAATTCTTGGACCAGTCGTTACCAAACCTTACACAGATTATACACTGTTTAAAGTGTTTTAAATGTTCACTTGCTGATATTGAAGAGCTCTCCAAAGTCTTAATTTTAAGCTTATGAAGGAGTACAGGATTGAGTGAAAAGGGATTTTCTGTTACAAATTTGTTTAGTACTAGACTTGTCATGCAGTAACTATTAAAGATTTAAATATGCAATTTATGAATATTCTATTTTAATATGTGTGAAAATTGTAAATACAAGTATGTCAAGTGTCTCACACAATAGATCTGTTCTTGAAAATTTTCATGTGAGGTGAAATCATCTTACACATACATAAATTTCCCATATGAAATATTATAATATAATATAATGAAGTTGTGGAGAAATTGTGTGAACTATAAAAACCAGTGATGTTAGTCAGAAATCAGCTTTACTTTAAAAACAATATTAATTCAAATTTGTGATCATTGAATGTGTGTTATCGGGGAACTGTATGTACATATTTCTTGACAGTGAAAACTATTGCTGTGTTACAGAACACAGCATTACATTTGGCAACTATGGATAATAAACCAAATGCTGTAGCTTTGTTGTTATCCATGAACTGCAAGCTGCTGTATAACTGCCATGACATGAGTGCAATTGACTACGCCATTTATTACAAGTTTCCGGAAGCTGCGCTTGCTATGGTTACACATGAGGAGAGGTAGGTGACTGCAGTTCTTTCATCACAATAGTTAATCCAAGCAGTTCAGCAAATGGTGTCTCTTTTCCTTTAGAGATCTGTGAGTTAAATACTGAAAGATAATCTCATCCTCTTTGTCACTCCTTCCTACTAAATCCTCAATATACCTAAAAATAATTTTAAACACTCCTCCACAGATTTCGTCAGTTTATCTTTGAAGGGAGTGCAGGCATTATCAGTGCTTTGTAGTCTTCTTGAAAGGAAGGTACCAGTACTTAGATGTGCCATGGGGTGCATCAGTTTTAAACACACACCAGAATACTAGGAATTATAAATCAGACTCTCAAATGATCTGTAGTTTCTAAGCATACAAGAATAAAATTAATCTGTAAGATGCTTACTAGATCAGTATTGTCTTATGGCCGGTAACATGGGCTGATGGGAGGAGACTGATACCAACATGATTGTGTTTCATGAAAGAGTTTGTAGGAAACGCCCTTTTGGATTGTAGAAGAAATGAATAAATTTTGACATAATTACAAATTTTGCAGAACAATGCATAAGAGACTGGAAATAATATGTTGTTAGCATGCACTCTGACAGGCTTAAAATAAATTCTAAAATATCATCATCCAAAATGAAGAAGTTTGAAAAGACTTCTCAAATGATGGAAGACATTTTTTAATGGGTCTTAGTAGGCCTAGTACTGGAAAGAGTCATATATATGTGTATACTCCCATGCAAACAAGTGGATGTATGCACTTATGTGTTTATTTACCTAAACCATTATTTAAGATGAAATAGAAACCTGTTTGTCTGTATTTCACTGTTAATCGCTCACTTTCGGTAAATAATATTTATTTATTTATTATTATTATCCTATAAATTAGAGAGGTAGGTGCTTGTATGCTTCGGTAACATATACTTCAGAAAGTAAATTGTTACAACCTCTTGCATAAGATAGATGAACTTTCCATCATATCTGTTTTTTCATCTTATTGTAATGGAAGTTTTGATGAAGGTACTGGTGGTGGTGATGGTTGAATTGTGTGTTGTTTCATCCAGGGCTCAAGAGGTGATGGCTCTCAAGTCAGACAAGCACCCCTGTGTGACTCTTGCTCTAATTGCATCCATGCCAAAAGTGTTCGAGGCAGTCCAAGATAAATGCATCACAAAGGCAAACTGCAAAAAGGACTCCAAATCATTTTATGTAAGTCACATTTGCACTGTTTGTTGGTAGTATGGTTGCTGCACTCTATACATATGCATGTATGAAAATTTCACATTTAGTAGTTGATACACTTAAATGTAGGAAATATACAGAGTCTTTCTCAAACAGCAAAAGCACACGACACTTACCATTAGCCTCTTAGCTGGAACCTTAGTCATCATCTGCTGAGAAGACGAAATGTAGACTTGTGACTGATAAGCCATGAATTACAAACATAGGAATGCAATTCTTAAAGTAGATAAATCATTTATAAGAACTCATTATCACAGTACTCAGAAAGTTTCTCTTCTGCCCTTAAACAAACTTCAAGGCTCTTGAAAAGTTTGTTGACACCAGTTAGAGTTTACTGAACTCAGTAGATGTAATTGTTTCATAGTTGTTATGCTAAAGTTCATTCAGTGTTCGGAGACTATTTTAATACACTTTCTTTCTTAGGTTTCTCCACAGATAAAAATTACATGGATTGAATATGAAGCAGGAATGTGAAACTATACATATACTTGCAGTACTTATGATTTAATTTGTTTAATGCTGAAAAAAAACATTTATGAAAAGAATTTAGAACATTCTAGAAGAATTATTTTAAATCTAAACAAAAAAGTAACATTACTGTGGATTTCAGAAACTTAAATAACAACTCAGTCCATTTATCCAAAACACTTTTTCCCTATTCTGATATTCTGCAGTCCAAATCAAGTTTTATATTCAGCTCTTCCCAATGTAAGCTAGAAGAGGAATAGTTGTAGTTTCTAGCCAAGTTAATTATGGTGACTGCAGCTGATGTGAAAATTAAACAGATGGGTAATCATAGTGATAGGAAAGAAATAAAACTAGGATCCTTCTGTGATAAACTATCAACAGTTCTTACATGGAACAGGTGAGAGAAGGCATGATAAACACCTACCAGGGTACCTGACACTGATCAGATCATGAGGCTGTCTCTTTACCTTAGCATCATGCCACAAAGTCTTATAGGGAGCACTGAGGAAAAGTTCTACCCATTCACCTTGGTGCTAAATGGAGGTAAATGATTAATTTTGCATCCCAGCTACTTTTCCATTTTAGGAAATAGTACCCAGTACCAACTTGCCAGAAGGTGGGTAGACGTCAGATCTTGTCTGGTTATGGTTGTTTAAAGAATGAGCTTTCCTCTACCAGGAATCAAAGATTCTACGACCTATTCATAATATAGAAGTTTGATGCAATTATTTCGATCACATAACTACAAATATTTAATTTAACAGTCCAAATATAGTACATTTCATCAGGATTTAAAAATTTGAATATACAATAAAAATTCAGCATATACAATCAGTCATTTCATCGCAAGAACCTTAAAATTTGAAAACTATTTATTAACATATTCCTCTACAGGATAAAAGGAAATGAGCTGTGAGTAAACCAGTCATGACCATCTTAATTTCTACAGTCATATGTTATTTAAAACAGATGGTCTATTACAGTACCATACTACTATAAAATTTATACCCTTAAATGCCAAGCAACTAGTCAGTGGGTAATACATCATGTGTAAAATCAACCTAACAAACAATTCAAGAGAATGTCTGGATTACAAACCTTTGTCTTCTTTATATTGAAAGTATTCGTTTATAGAGTAAAAAGAATGGTGACATAAAAACCTCTTTAATGTAAATTTAAAGCTTTCCTTATCATTGACCAAAATCTTTATTGATCGTGGAAGATGATTGAACACTTTAATACCTGTTATATAGGCTCCTTTATTAAATTTTGAAGTATTCACACTAGGTACATGTAAATTATCTTGGAATCTAGTTGTATATTCATGAATCTTGTTATTAAAGTTAAATAAATGTTTATTATTAATTATATATAAAAGTAGTGAGTATATATACTGAGAATATAATGTCATAATTTCCAATTTCTTGAAAATATCCTTGCAAGAATCTCTAGGTTTAGTGTTCGTTACGATTCTAATAATTTTCTTTTGCAAGATAAACACTTTCCTGGCATGTGAGGAGCCACCCAGAAGATTATATACCATAACTCATGATGGAGTGTACGCAAGCAAAGTAGATTGGCCTTAACGTTGCAAATGATACAATATGTTTTATATTGAATTGAATTGAATTTAATTTAATTTATTTACATTCTATAAATCCTAAGCAGGTTAGTACCTTTGGATACAGAACAAGTCAAAAGGTTACATACATAAGTACAGGCAATTTTAGCTTAAAAATTAATATAACTTAATTTTACATCATTCTCTATTTACATTGAAGTATTCATCTAAAGAGTAGAAGGAATGAGCATGTAGATAATTCTTTAACTCTGATTTAAACTTTTTAGTATCATTGCCCAAGTTTTTAATACTTTGTGGCAGATTGTTGAACACTTTTATGCCAGTAAAGTAGACTCCTTTTTGATATACTGATAAAGTTG